GTATTTATAGATGTGTAATATTTAGTGTTATGTAGATATGCAAATGTAGTTATATATGTGTATATCCATATCATACATTAAAGCATATGTCCATAGAATTATATAGTTCTATAAGGGTCTTTGTGTGTGTATATATAGTCTATATATAAACCCACCCTATTTATATGCAGAGACCATGTAACTATAAACCAATCTGCATAGTATATTGTGTATTTTATCAGTACATAAGTAGGTGCTTATACTAACAGATCGATGTATATATGCCTATAGAAATACATAGCTATGTAATACATAAATGATGGTATATACTATAGCAAGAGTACATTACATAGCTCTAACGATCCCACTGTATCTGTGTATATCTATATATAAAATGTGTGTAGAAATAGGTCACCAGGGAGAGTGTATAAGGCTGGCTCATATGTATGCCTGTATACATGTTTATTTATAAAATATACATGCATGAGACTGTTGTTCAGTTATATAAAGGTATGTGTAAATTTACGTATCACTGTATATTTATATATATGTGCATATGTATGTATAGATCTTTTATATCCCTGTATGTGTATATCATATGTAGATGTATGGGGCTAGAGTGACTGGTCCACATCATCCAGTGACGTGTGCACTCTTTGGAAGCATCACAGGATGGTTTGGGGTGATTGGGACCTTAAAGCTCACGTAGCTCCACCCCCAGGTGATGGAGGCTTGTGGACCTTCATCCCACCGGTCCTACGGGAAAAGCTGCACCCACACAATCACTGGTATTTATAACTTTTATTTGCAATACTTTAGGTCCAAGTTTCAAACTGCAATATTTTTACACTCAAGACACAGTCATGCACAATCCATATTTCAATTTTCTATTGCTTCAACCACAATTTAAAATAACTTAATATTGGAAACAAAACCCAAAATCTTAAAAAAAAGGATGCTGAGGTCAGTAAGATGGATCCATGCCATCAGCACATTTACAAAGTAAATAACTTAGTTCTCTTTTTAAAAAGATCCGTTACCTCTTGATCCAAAGTTACAGAAGATTTTTCACTACACATTTGTTTTTTGTTTTTAGCTTTTTCTTTTTTTCTGTTTTTTCTTGTTTTTTTTTAAACAGATAACACGTCCTAAAAAAGGAATGTACGGCAAAATGAGATAGATACATTTCTGATAACGATGACAATGTAGGCTCCTCCTCTCTTTACTCTTGTTTGGATACCCTGAAGAAAAAGAGTAATCTAGCAGACACCAGTGTAGGTGTAAACTGGTTGCTTTGGACTAAACTGGAGTTTTACATCGGTTACATCCTGACCCAGTCAAGAGTTGTGGAATTCTGTTGCAGATCTTCCTGACCTGTGTGCCTGTACTCACAGCATCCACAGGGCAGACACCACGCTCCTGCACCACAAAAGCTGCCAGTAATTCCCACACGGGCTTTGGGCTCTGCCCAAGGAGCTGCCCTCATCACTGGGGCCACGGTGTGTGCAGCCCTTTGCTACTTGTTCCCAGCTACAGCAGCAGCCTTCCACTTACGTACCTGCCAAGGTGGCTCACGAGAGTGGCCCCTGAAGAGCTGAGAGGCTCTTTTTCCCGTTGCTGTGCTACAGACTGATTTAGCAGCATTGCTTGACACAAATAGAAACAGCTAGACAAATGCAATTGCCTTTACAGACCTGGAGCGCAAAGGGCTGCTGGGACATGGATGTAAGAGATGTGCATGCTTCCTGTTTGCTGTCCTTCTGCCCTGGACATTTTGCATGATGGAGAAGAACAACAGCAGGCAGCTCCCTCCCACCCAGGATGTCTCCAGCCCCCGTGCTCTGGGCATTACCAGCACCAGCTCAGGAGGTGACCAGTTCTGCCATCATTGAAGCCAACAGCCAAACTCTCACTGACCTCACTAGGAGTAACAGCAGTGCCTGTATCTGATCCCCAGGTCTGTGGCTGGGCTGACACATACCCCATTATGCACATACTGTGCAGCAGCAAAGGACCAGACTTTAAAACCAACCACCTACCACTATTCCCTGACATCTGCAATAGCATCATGTCAGCTTGAGGCACCTAGGAGCCCTCGATGGCCTTCAGATGTCAGGCCCCGAGTTCTTGGAGGTGATGCACTAAGTGAAGGGGATTTTCAACTCCCTCTCCAGACCAAGCTTACAGACTGAAAAGGCTGCTGTAAGCAGGAGTTCAAAGGGCAGAGAAAAGAGGATCTCAAGTACTCTAAGCCAGTTGCAGAGTCTTGGTTAGCAGCCACCAAGCAGAGGAAGACCAGAGGGCACAGGAAGAGTGACAGAATCAGTCAAGCACAGAGACTGGGAAGAGCAAGACTGTGAAAGGTAACACACTGCTTAGTTTCTCTCTTTAGGGAAACTCTTCTCTGTTTCAAGCCCTGAAAGGGGTGAAGACCAGAAAGGAGGTGACACAGGGACAGTACTCATGGTCTCAGTTCATTCACTTCCTCCCTCAATGTTACAGCAAAATGTGATTAACTGCATTCTTCTGAGTAGTCTCTTTAGCATTAGCAGCTGAGCACTAGTAGCTAAAGCAGCTTTAGGCTGCAAGGCCTGGTTGAGAGTAAACTTTCTGATAAAACCAGTGTTGCTAATACGGAACTAGATGAATCCAGCAGCTGGGATCACAGAATCATTTAGTTTGGAAAGGAACTTTAAGTTCATCAAGTCCAACCATTAACCCAACACTGCCAAGGTCACTACCACAGGTGGGCTCAGGCGACTGATGGTTTATACATTCAATGCACGCTGAGGATTACAGCAATCAGCTCTAAACTCATCCACAGAGAGGATGGGTAAGCAAGATCCTGCAAGTTTCAGCCACAAAAAGAAACTACCCTGTCAGCTCAAGGACAGATAAAGTTTGAAGAATCCTTGAACTGCACATCCCACTCAAAGCAGCCTTGGCCAGGACAACACAAAGGTGGCCCTTTGCCTGCTTCCTGAAACCTGGAGCTAAAATTAAAGGTATTTACCTGGTCAGGAGAGGGGGAGAAGAAAAGCTGAACACTTACATTTATGGGTCCTTCATCAGGTTCCCCATCACCCACCATTAAACTGCTGCACATCTGCACATGAATGAACAACGGTTCACTGGGAAGGTGTGCAGACCACTAACTCCCCAAGACCTAGCAAGGTGAAGCTGGTATTCATGTGCATGTCCTGGGTGTCAGGCAAGGGAACACATCTGTAAGCGCAGGTTACAGAGCGTGCCCTGGCTCATTGCTCAGGCCTGGACTAGGACAGATGGGTATTTACATGCTCAGCGTGAGGAATATTCAGTAGCCACACCACTGACCATATACTGGAACTAACTGCCATATAGACACCAGGGGATGGGGACGTTCCTACAACTAGAGGACAGGAGACAGATAGATACTTAACTTCCCTTCTTGTGGTGACTGGAATGTGCTTCATTTTCGGTGACAGGACTGACTGAAAGACCTGCTGACATGCAGCGACCGGTCTCAAACTCAGCACGAACAGCTATAAAAGTACTGGGGTTCAGTTGTGTGCAGAGATGGGGAATAAACACGCACGTACGTACAGGAGTGCTGGACACAAGTGAGAGTGGTGTAAGATCCACCCCGTGCCGGCTTCCGGGTGTGCATGCAGGAGCTGAATGGAATTCTACATGGAATTCTACATGGCTTTTTCTGAGTGAAGCCACATTGCGCCTTTCTTTCAGAAATGAATAAATAAACCACAAACTGCATACTGCAACTATTCTGCTCCAAAGAGTAAGCAAACTCTGCTTACAAACCAGCGGACTAGTCAAGCACCATCCTCACTCACATTCAGGATTCCCTCTCTCCCAGCAACTCAAGAGCTGCAGCCGGTGCCTCTCTGTCTGTAAAGCACTCTGCATCTCATATGCTGGCTCTTGCTCAGAGCCCCAGGTTTTAACACACTTCCCTCCAGAGCTGTCTGTGGCTCTGGCCATGCGTATCCGAGCTGCTACTCACTCATTCACACGCTGTCAGCCTGAGTTTCCATGTCAGAACTCGTGTGCCGGAAGGACACTCACCTGCACATGAGCCTGACACCCTCCTCCCCTTCTTCCCAGAGACACTACGAACCAGGAGCTCCAGGAGACTGGGAGAGCAGGCATCCTGATGTGACACCACAACTCAGCTCTGTTCTACCCTTCTCTATTCCTGCACACACTCAAGACAGCTAATCCCTCCAGCCTGTGCATTCCACAGCATGGCCAGGATTCACCTCGGGAGCAGCCTGCTGCCAGTTTGGCTCTGACACGGGATGATTATTCCGGTCCCAGGAAGAGGGATGCACCCAGCCCCAGTCTGCGGCCACCTCCTGCTACAAGAACCTTCCTCTGGCCTGGGTCTGCAGGTGCCAAGGCTGCCCTGCACTCTGCAAGGGGTCTGCTGGGGCTCAGCGCCAGGCAGGGCCGGGCCTGCTCTCACATTTCTCCTACAGCTTTGCACCAGACGAGCCCTTTCTGAGCACAGTCTGCTCAGAAACCTTTCTGCTTTTTCACTTCAGTAAGACTCGCATCCAGGCAAACAGATTACAATTAGTTATACAAACCAAATTGCCAAGAACCGAAACACTACGTATTCACAGTTGAAAACCTGTATCTCAACAGGATGTTTTGTCTGCCCCACTCTTGATGGGTTTTTGGTTGGAAATACAATGCAAGTACCGTGACTGGGCAAATACCAGCGAGGGGGCTGTATTCAAAAGGCAGTGCAGTCTGGAGTTTATGAATGAAGGAGAACCTTCTCCAATTCCAACCGTACCAAAAAAAACCCGTAAAAGGGACTTTCTGTCTTTAAGAAACAACTGACAATTTAAAAGAGAATGTACAGCTTATTCACAGGGTGAGAAGGAAGGGAATCTTCCAACTGAATTTGCTTTACCTTGGGAATGGTGGAGGCAGCAAAGCATTTTCGGTCATCACCTCTCTGTCTTAAGCCCTGTTTCATCTTAAAAATAAATTAAGGAGCCAGAAAGCAGGAAGAAGACAAATGATAAGTTTTACTCCTCGAGGGACTGGATTGTTCTCCCTCCTACCTCCGTGACTGTGACCGTTGGTGTGTGCATCCATCCTGTCCCGCAGCACAAGAGTTGAGGTTTCACAGAGTCTCTGTTCTCAGTCCTGCTCTGAGCTGGCATGGGAGACCGGCCTGGAGCGCTAGCGGCTGCTGTTCTTAATCGCTTCCTTTGCTGCAATGATCAGAGGAGTCAGGCTGGAGAGAGGCTTGGCTAACTTTAAAAATGGATGCTGCCCAAAGGAAAAAAAAGAACTGTTACTTTCCAAACACACTTACTCACAGGCTCAAGCAGTTTGTCCTCTGGGTACCAGGAGTCTGCAGAAATAGGACTGCGGGGACCATCTGCACCTGTGTCCTTGTGTTCAGCACCCTGCTGTCACAGGCAAGCATGGTCCATAATCCTCCTAATCCATTTATCAAGGTGGCTTCAGCTTGCTGGGGTGTTTACCCTGGCAACACTGTGGGAATGCTGTTTGCTGTCCCAGGGCCTTGTTCCTTTCAGGAAACCTGAAATACTTAAGATTCCATTTTTCTAAAGACATGGACTATTTCAGTTGTCAAAAAAGATGAGGGGCATGAGCCATTCCTCAGGGAACTACAGAATCTTGCAGAAACTTTTATCCCAATAGAATGTAGGCCTGTGAGCTGTTCTGAAGGCCACTGAGGTACAGCTTTCCAGCACCAAGAGCAGGCAGGCAAGTGACAGCACTGATGGGCTCAGCTCTGGGTTGAGTAGTGCCTACCAGCCCATGCACTGCCCTTCCTGTGCTGGCTGGCACCTGCACAGCAGGACTGAATATACTATCAAAATACAAAACAGGTCCAGGGAGCGCCTCTCCCGAGAGGAAAGGCAGAGAGAATTGGGACTGTTCAGCCTGGAAAAAAGAAGGCTCCAGGAAGACCTTACCAGGGCTTTTCAATACTCAAAGGGGGCCCTGTAAGAAAGACAGAGACTTCTTAGCAGGGCCTCTTGTGGTAGGACAAGAGGTGATGTTTTAAACTAGAAGGACAGATTCAGACTAAATATAAGGAAGAGATTTTTTACAGTGAGGGTGGTGAGACACTGGAGCAGGTTGCCCAGAGAGGTGGTAGATGCCCCATCTCTGGAGACATTCAAGGCCAGGTTGGACGGGTCTCTGGGATACCTGACCTAGCTGAAGATGTCCCTGTTCATGGCAGGGAGTTGGACTAGATGAGCTTAAAAGGTTCCTTCCAACTCCAGTCATTCTATGCTTCTACTTCATTTTTTATTTGAAAAGCACTGGAGACTGATAGAGCAGCCCTCCAGTACCTGAAGGGGGCCTACAAGAATGCTGGGGAGGGACTCTTCATTAGGACTGTAGTGACAGGACAAGGGGTAATGGGTTCAAACTTAAACAGGGGAAGTTTAGATTGGATATAAGGAGGAAATTCTTTACTGTAAGGGTGGTGAGGCACTGGAATGGGTTGCCCAGGGAGGTTGTGAATGCTCCATCCCTGGCAGTGTTCAAGGCCAGGTTGGACAGAGCCTTGGGTGACATGGTTTAGTGTGAGGTGTCCCTGCCCATGGCAGGGGGTTGGAACTGGATGATCTTAAGGTCCTTTCCAACCCTAACTATTCTACAATTCTATGCCTTAGAGTTCAGCTTCCAAAAACCCATCCCACAGTAGAGCTGTGTCACTCCCAGCCACTCGCACTGTACCTGCAGCAGCTCCTTGGCAGACCCTCTCCTGTCCACGTCCATCTCCAGGCAGCAGTTCAGAAAGTCTCGGAATACAGCGGAGAGCCGCTCGGGGTTCTGCAGCTCTGGTGTCCCGTTGGTAGCTATCAGATACAGCGCCTAGGGAAGAAGAAAACACCAGACTCCTCCTGTGTCTTTCACATCCATAACTCCTCACATAGACCCCACTTTAAAGTCCAGTCTCCAGTGGCAGCTTCTTCCCTGGCAGAAGGTGAGAGAGGATTTTTCTATACCAACAAAAAAACCCTGATGCAGCCACAGCTACTCCAACATCAGAACAATCCTGCCTTGACAGCTGATTTCATTGCCTGACCTACTTAGTATGAACTACATCAGCAAAAGCACATTTTGCTCCTCTAAGTACTGACACTAGCTTTACAGGCTATTTTAAAGAGTGAATTTGGTCCAACTATGTAATTTCAAAGGATTATTACATAAAAATGTGTCTCTGCAGTGCTCACTGGTCCCTGCAGTACAGCTTCCATGGAACAAAAGCTAGCCAAGTTTTCTTGCTCTGTTCTTCATAAAAATGGTCACTGGATGAAAAGAAAAGTATATCCATCAGCTTGTTCCTTGGGTAAAGAAACAGAAACATTTGGAACCTCATTTTCAACACACACACGTTAAGTTGAATCCACAAATATGAAGAAAATGTGTAACTGGGCAGACAGGGGCCACCTGCAACTACGCCTTTCAGCAGTCTCCAAATTCCAGGTCAGCTTATGTGGTAAAAGAGAACTTACTGGTCTAAGCAGAGAAATGAGTAATTCCGTTCCTATGGCAGCCCCTATGGCAGCCCTGTGCTAATTTGGATACTCAGTTAATGATGTCCCTATTCCAGAAACTGTCAGGGAAGAAATGGGAGGTGTTGGCAGTTTGGTTATTGGAAGCTCAAGGTTGGTGGCATGGAGAAAGTGGACTATGAAAGAAATATGTTCACAAGGTATTTCAGGAAAAACAGGCAAGAGGCAGAACAGACCATGTTGCCCTTGGGCTACAATCTTCACGTTCCAGGCAAGCTTCCAGTGAGAAGAACTGGGGGCAGTTTATATCTCAAAACCCCTGTTTAGAAAGGTGCTGGGTTTTGGTGGGGTGGTTTGGTTGGTTGTGTGGTTTGGGGGTTTTACTTTGGTTTGGTTTTTAAAGGTAAGATTAGATCTGCTACACATATTTCATGTTTTCAGGGTCATCTTCACAGACAGAAGAGCTGGAACAACGTCAAACCCCAAATAAAATGTTACCTGAGTATTGGGAGTATTTGCCGAGTCCTCTGTGAATTCCCTTCCATGATGTGCACAAGCATCCAGCTGCCCATCTGTGCACACAGGCCTACCCAAACACTTGGAAAGTCAAGCCTTTCTCCTCCTCAACAGCATCTAGCCTAATCGAAGCTGAAGTTTCTTAAGCAAGGCCACAGATGCTCACTCCCAGGAGTGCTCATGAATCTGAGCAAGGCCTCCTGATATTCCACTGCCCAGGAATTACAATGTAGATTTGCAAAACACAGGGTGAGCATTATCCAGCCTGGTTCACTTGTAACCACGGTCTAACACGCTGAGAAGCTGGAGAGATCAGTCCCTTCCGGCTTTGCAACATGTTACTTAGAAACACAAGTAAATAATTCTGAACTAGTTAAACTCACAGAATGTGTTTCAAATACACAGCAGTAAGAATAGAAATAGGCCCAGGAGTCTTCCATAGAAATGCGTGCATGATAATGACAGCTCTGTATGACTGGCGTTTAAATAGATTGTGACCAAATTGACTTTGTCATCCTCTTAAATACACAGGAAGATTTCCAACCCTGAAAAAGCAAATGAACTATCCTGGAGTAAAAACAATAAAAGGCAGTTGCTTTACTTTTCCCACAATGTTAACGTCACAGCATCACTCTGGTCCTGCTGTCCATCTGCAGCTGACCCGAGCTGCAGGGTTGTCCTCACCACTCTTAAATTGTGCTACTTGAGGGATGCTACTTCTCCTGTGGTAAAGGAGCACCAATGTCACCCTTGGAGATTTTATTCCAGCCGCATTCACCTGACTGTGAACGAGGAGTGCCAGGACAAATGGAGCTCTTTTTAGTGGCTTGTTTCTCCACAGCACATGAATCAGGAGGAAGAGTCATCTTTAGCTTGCAACTGAACCTTTTACATACTTCTAGGATGACAGAAAAAGGTCTACGAGAAGCTAAAGCGCCTTTTTATGTATCTTTTGGTTTCCTGTGATATAGCCAGCAAAGAAAAACACAAGCAGTACAAAGGAAACGAGTGTTTGCAGTAGCTGCAAAGGGGCAATAAGCTCATTGATTTGTTTAACATACCAAGAAAGAAGAAAGGATTTGGCACACAATTATAGCTGCAGTCTGTGAAAACGATATCCTAAAGTTATCCAGGCCACCCAGATACACGGCAGAACAATATACAGATGATTTAGAAGCCTGAAACTGTAGAAGATCCAAAGCATTTGGAAAACATGCTCCAGTTTTGAAGGAAACTGATGTGCTGTGGTTAATAAATGAAAAAGCAAACAAATGCTGAGGGTTTGGGTTTTTTAGATTGGAAATGGGGAGGTCCAACCTACATTTCAAAGGATATTTATCACACCAGTGTTTGCCCCTCAGGCCCCAGGCATATGCCTGATGGAAAAAAATCACAGTGAGAGAAAACAAATACCATCACAGAAATATCCAGGACACTCATGGCTGGAAAACGGTTCATTTCTGTGAGGCTGGAAAGAACCTGAGGAACACGGGACACGTCTGCTCTACACACACAAACACAAATGTGCTTGCATCAAGACTGCTGTTAACTCTGTGATTAAGGTCCTTTATTGCCCTTATAATTTATTCATGTATTTAGTGTCAGTAACTGCAGCTCCTGCGTGCCTTCCTTTATGAAAACAATCATTCATAAAAATGAAAGGGCATCCTTTTGTTTCCAGGCTTTGCAGAATACCCTGAATGTGGTCTACATGTGCCTATTAAACCAACCACCACTGTGTGCCAGCAGCTAAACAACTCAGCTATAAAAACAGGGCTTGCTTATAAGCTCTCCTGTTTGGACGCAGCTGAAACCTCTCACTGAAGCCTCTGTTCCATGTACAGTAGTGGATGGATCTTGTCCCTGTTGGGGTTGATTTACCTTAATAAAACTACCTGACAACTGGGGAACTTCAGGCAGTCCATCACAAGCTCTTCACCGTTCCTACCTCAGGGGTAGCAACCTCTGAGGAACGGTCTAGAAGCTAATACAGATGGTACTGACTTGAGATGCCCGATTTTAACGTACTGCTATTTTCCTCAGACACCCGAAGGTGCCTTGCAGCAGTAAGTGTTCAAAGTGATCTTAACCTCAGCAGGAGATGAGCCATGGATGGAGAAAAAGAGCATCTCAAATAATCTGGCTAAAGGCAGGAAGAGCTGAACAGGAATTTGGTCAGGTCAGAAATTCAGTTCTCTTTCTAACCCAAGGCTTCTCCAGGAGCCCTCATCAACACCTGAGGTTAGGGAAGCCGGGAATTTCCAGTATCCAGACCAGTAATGCTAATTCTCCTCATGTGCATTTGCTGCCTTATACAAGGCAAATGCATTTTTTTCACAAGGGTCTTCTATGGAAGCATACGAACTATGGGGTTCTCTCTTTGGCAGGAAAAGTCATTTTAAGGAATCAGGATAAAAGGGAAAACTTCAGAACATTAAAAATGCATCAGTTTACTGCAAATATCCCTGCTAAAACGTACTTTTAGAAATGTTTTTGGTAATGAGTAATTCTGGCATTCCTATAACCAGTGACACTCTGGGGAAGGCTCAGGTAAGCCATCAGCACTGTTCTGAGTCTGCTCTGCTCACAGATACAGCTGAAATGCTCTTCAGGAAGGTTCCCCAACTGGGGAAACTTGCTGCTGAGCAATTCCTGCCATTGACATGCAGCTCAGAGTTCAAAAACCATGTGAGAAATTTCAAGCACCACTGAAGGCAAAAATGGCACATTTCTGAACTGGCTACAGCTCCCTTCTCCTCTGAGGTTCTCCCATGGATGTAACCAAAACTACTGGATACGCTGGTACATTCCAGTGACATTTTCAGAAGCTCTTGGTGGAGCTGATGGGACTGGGACTCTGTCTCATGGATACAAAGCATGGGACAGATTAGAAAGAGCGGTATCTGGTTTTGTTTGCACCTTACCCTGAGAGGATTTTCATTAAGGTACGGAGGTTCTCCTTCCACCATTTCTATTGCCATGATCCCAAGAGACCAGATGTCCACTTTGGGGCCGTATGCTTTCCTTGTCACCACTTCTGGTGCCATCCAGTAAGGAGTCCCGACCATTGTGCTCCGTTTACTCTGCTCAGGGGTGATCTGAGCGCAGAAACCAAAATCAGCTGATGGGAAAAACAAGTATTGTTAAAGGCAGGCTGAAGCAAAAGAAAGCCCCACTACATGGCTGAGAACACGCTGCTGAGTCTCTCTGGAGAAGGAGCCGTGCCCTGTTCAGTCAGCGCTGCAGCCAAGGAAACACTGAACTGGCCACTTTAGGCCAGTTTCACACAGTGGCTTTGATTCACCTGAGGCTGGAGACTGTAACTCCCTCCCTTCGACAAGGACACGCACAAACCAAAGCTACTCTTAACACCTTTTTCCCTCCTATACCTCTCTGCATGCTGGAACTGTGCTCTTAGCTTGCAGCAGTGGTTAATGCGCTACCACAGGCATCGCTTTTGGGTAACTGGCAGTCAGTCAAAAGCAGCCCCACGCCACATCCTGGGAGTGCTGCGCCTGGCCAAGAATACCTACTCAATTTGACAGAGCCGTCCATTCCGAGAAGGATATTGTCACTTTTGATGTCTCTGTGAATCACTTGGTTTGAATGAAGGAAGTCCAGCGCTTGCAGGCACTGACAGACAAAAAAGAAACAGGAGGGTGAAAATTAATGACCTGAGTTCATCACACAAGAAAGGAAATGGCTCCAAAAGATTGAATTTCTAGATGAATTGTGACTAGAACATTGTGCTGTCAAGAGGAACACCGTGCTGCACCAACTGGCTGAGTAATAACTTTCTAAATGAAAGCATATTAGCTTTTGAAAGAGAAATGTCAATTATTGCTAGAGACTATCCCCTGCAAGCACAGAGAGAATGTCTGCTGCTGCAGTGAACGTGCTATCTCCATCCACGTGAGAAACTATTGTTTGCCAAAGAGTATTCCCTTCCTTTAGTATGAAGTGGATCACTTTCAGGTTGGAGGCTGCATGACAAAGGTTTTATTGTTAGGCTCTACAGCAGATTTGGAAATAGCATGTTAGTAATTTTTCAGAATCAAACACCATTTTGGGAGGAACGCTCTCCTTTTAAGCTGAGGACTGTGATAAATGAGCTTCTATTTTTCTTTGCTGTTGTTTTAAAACTCTGCCACCAGCATGTTTGCTTTTACAGGCAAGGAATGCAGTAGAGATGTGCTCCAGACAAATGTTTAAAGAGGCAAAGTTGAGAATAGAACTAAAAAAGAGACAGTACAGTAACAGTATATGAGTATAATAACAGAGTATAGTAAGTGCAGTGATACTGGCAGGCAGTTCACTTAAGTTCTTTCTTCTCCATATTACTAAAGCAACACAGAAACAAAGCTCTGAACAAGGTATCACTCATGTTCTTACCATCTGTTTAGAAGTACCATCCTGTGCGAGTAAATGGAAGCACGTGTAGGATCCCTTACCTCCCTACAGACAGCTGCTATCTGTCCTTCATCCATGCATGTCTCTGTAACCACATCGGTTAAAGAGCCGCCAGCCAAGTACTCCATAACCACCCAGAGCTCATCACCCACCAGGTAGCTGGAAGAAGAACACAGCAGCACTGAGATGAATGTGCAAAGCTGAGTTACCTTATGCAAAAGACTACAGCTGAGTTGTGTTTCCAGCTCATTCCTGATAGCCTATACAGTACTTAGAAGCTGTGCAGTCTAAATCCGAAAGCACATTAAGTGAGAAATAAGATGTCTTAGATGGCAAACAAGTGAAAAAATGCAGTTTGGCAATGGCACAGATAAATCTTGCACAGATTATCACATCATTTGGTTCATCATCTTAACACATAAATTCCATGATTTACTCCAGGAACAAGGCAGCACAGCTCTCAAAGTGTCCATGGTAGGAGGGTGTGTACCACTGAGGACAGAAATTGGTCAGCACTCTGGAAAACCTTACATAAAATACATTCAGAAACAGGAAAAACGGTTTAAAAACTGGCAAATTACATGTTTCTGGAGACAAGAACCCAGTCTTCCCGGCATCCACAGCCATGGAAAATAGCGGGAATAGCCCAAGGAAAATCATTTCTAAGATGATTTATCAGCACTTATCATAAGACACAGAAAATACTATCAACTTTAAAAAAACCCAGCAAACCAAAGCCACCCAACAAAGCAACTCGGAGGCAGTGAAACTAGAGGCTGTTGTTTTATAAAGATCCAGCTGATCCAGGTTTCTGAGAACAGTCTTCAAACTACAGCTGCCAGAAGAGATTAATGCAGACAAAGTGCAATCTCCTCCCACACACTAAATAGTAGATAAATAATAAAGAGATCAATTTGCTGCCAGCATCCAAAGGGGGTTTTTCATGTCTGCCTTGCAGTACGTAAATGAACATGCACGTGATAATGTCCAACACCATTTACTTACCTGTCTAAATAGTTAACGATATTGGGGTTCTTATTTTCCCTCATGACCAGGATTTCATTAATAATTAGTTCCTTTTTGGGCTGCTGTTGGAGATTCATTTGCTTTATGGCCACCTAAAACGACATTGAAAATCATCAACTTGAGTAGTCCGTTGCACAAGGTCAGAATGAACACGGAGAGAGTGGCTTTGGAATGACGTAGCAGAGCTGTGCCAAACTTTCTTGTTATATGGAGTAAGAGCTTAGGAACTTACATTACAACACCCTGCTTCTCTGTGGCCTGGGTGGTGCAGGACACATGGCCATTGACATTTTGCCTTATAAAAAGGGTCTTTAAACTCTTAACCACCAGTCTCTACCACCACTCTCTGGAGCTACGCTCTCAAACAGCCTTAGTTTATCACCACTATTGTTATTCATGCATTTGCAAGCAGGACGCGATTTTGCTACTGTGAAAATATGTAAACCCAGCAGGTAAATACTTCTGCAAGTCCCTGATTTTTGATCATGATGTCAGCTACTGCTGCTACACCTGACTGCACACACAAAACACACGCACATTCGTATAAAATGCCATACTGAAAAGATCGCTAGGGTTACCCCACAACCAGTCCTAGTACTTCCCAACTTGTTCCGTTTGGGTTTTGCAATTCTAAGTAACATTCTTCAACACAGTTTGGATTTGCAAATACTTTCTGGATCAAAAAAAGTTTAATCCATTCTATGGTATTTTACGGATAACCCCAGGGTTATAAGCAGGGCTTATGGCTCTTAGGTCCCTTGCAGACTCAGTTACAAACTGCAGTACTGCAGGTAGATGAGAAACTACCAGTAAGATCCAAATGTATTGGTGACAGTCAGAAATGGTAAATCAGAAATCTTAAGTTGTAGCACCAAAGAGCAATAGGATTCTCTAAGACATAATTTATTGCCAATATGATCCATTTTGCTCTGAACCACTGCAGCCATCCTGCCTCTGCCCGGTCCCATCTCCCACAGTCTCCAGTTGAGCTTCTCCTCCTGGCCTCCCTCCCGAGCCCAGTTCTGCCAGGCCCATCCCTCTGGGCTCAGCCCAACTTCCCTCCCTGGCACCCAGCTCCAGCCAAGACTGCAAACACACCCTCCCCAGGGTTCCCAGCACCTCCTGCCCAACACACACCTCAGGGGGAGATGTGGCCCTGGGGCTACTTAATATCTGGCCCCCACTTCCCTGTGACTAGTTCATGGGCTGTAAAGGGCTGTCACTGCCACTGGACCTAAACATGGCTGTATGATTTAGGAGAGCTCTTTGCTCTTGATACACACCTTCTCATTTGTCAGTGTGTGTGTGTCAACTAGTGTCAGTATGACTGAACACAAAATTGCGTGCTAAACATGAGCTCTCCTTAATAGGTCTCACATTATACTTCGAAGGCAAAACATATAATGGAAAAAATGCTAAATAGCACTGCTGCCTGAACCTGTGATTAAGATAAACTGGGACTGAACGCTGGCAGCCTCCATCAGCTAGCTGATGCATTAATATATTTAGTAATTAAGACACAGCTACTGTCTTAATTATATATCCTTCTCTGAAAGATACCACTTCCTCCCTGCATCCTTTCTGGCTGTGAATAAGGACAAAGTCTGTCTGAAATTACACTATGTAATGAACCTATTCACTCCTTATAGCAACAGGAGAGCCTGTGGCCACCCCATTTGCTCTCCTGAAGCCTCGCTTTATGACAGAGCTTTAGATTTCACTGTTTGTATTGCTAACCCATCTATGGCCAGGTCCAAAGGTAGATTTTATGCTGCAAATGTAGTATGTAGTAAAACATAGTATGTAAGTCAGAACATAATGCTATTATAATTGGCCTTAAAAGCTATGGGTGAAGCATCTCTCTTGATGCTTCACCCAAGCAGAGAGCACCAAGGCTCTTACTGCTTCCACGGGGAGCAGGACACCCCCAAGGAATTTGCATTAGTCAATACCTCAGTGTAATGGCTGCTGGAAAGTCGATGGCCACGGGAAGTGTTCAGCTACTGAGGCACAGAAACACATTCCCCTTAAGGAGCTTCCACAGCAAAGCTGAAGACGGCAGATGATGTATTTTGCCAACTGACACCAGTCCGCGCTTAGGAGGAACAGCCGTAGCAGAAGATGTATTTTGCAGGCTGACACCAGTCTGTGCTTCAGAGGTATTTATACCTTTGCAGTACAGATGTACTGGCACCCAAAAGCCCCATCCACAGTTAGTACCACAGGGGAAAGCCCCAAATATCTGCAAACTCTGCTGGGGCTGCTGGCACGTACCTCTTGTCCTGTGGCGATGTCAATTGCTGTATAAACAGTTCCCGATGCCCTAGAAACAAAACAGCAGCAAAGAAAGGAGAAGCAGTTTAGTCCCTATGGGTGAACACAAGCCCAGATCTCTGCTGCCTGGAGTGTTTATAAATAAAAATACCTTTGTTCCTTCAACCAGCAGCACAGCACCCTCTGCAATGCAGAGTACCCCGGATAAAACTATGTCCAACATGAAGAAAAAGGGCTCGTGCAAACCTCGAACTAAATTATTATAGCTCAACACTGAAGGTGAGCTCTACGTTTATTCTTTCTCCATTTTCACCAGTTTTGCTTTGGTTTGGGGTTTTTCTTCCCCTTTTTTCGTGGCTGTGGGTTACACAAAGGAAAGTTCTCCAGCTGTCCTGTGAGGTCACAGCTACAGCAGGTTAAGGGAGATACTGTTTCACACACACATGGACACCTACTCAAAACAAAGGATCCCCAGACAGCTTCTCTGTGTGTCAAGAGCCATCAGCAGCTGCTTCCATTAGCAGACACGTGAAGGACTCTTCATGGTGCTGATGCTTTGCTCTGTGGCAGACACCAGTTGTGTTGCAGAGCCACCAGCAGCAAATGGTGCACTCACCTGCAGACTAGACAGCATGGGGGTTTGCTTGCCATCTGCCTCTTGTTGAAAGAGGTTCTTCCCCTGTAATCATGTGAAGGGCTGGAAAAGGCACCATCAGAGGAAATCCTTCTGGGTTTAAAAGCAGCTTGGGGCTTGTAAACCCTAATGGGGTTTCCTTCTGGGCTAAACCATAGTTTTACACTGCCGTCATTTAAGTCCGTATCTGCATGGGCAGTGAGGCCAGGGTGGGAATTCTTGGAACATGCATCCGGCAAGTGTCCCACTGACTGAAATGCCAACGTCAGTTTGCTCATTCTGAGGTGATCCCTGGCCTCTTTACCTGCAGGCTCAAATACTTGTGAAGCATTGTAGTTCAACAGGCACAGAGACTGTGTGTGTTGAGAACAGTGTTCTCATTGGGCACGCTATGTATTCTTTTAATATAAATGCAAATGCATTTTCCTATGACTAATTGTCGAGATTAATCCAATTTGTTTTCATAAAAAGCCAACACCATTTATTCAGACTCGCTAATGCTGTGCTGTGCTCCTCAGCAAAGTCCTATCAGAGTTCATTTAAAACCAGCTATTTAAATTAGGATGCTTTTGCTCTGCTCCAGGCCATCTGCGAGGAGCTGAGATAAAGGTGAGTAATTTAAGTAAAGCTGTGAATTAATTGCAGGGGCTCCAGTTGTGCGTTACCAACTTTTACTTCTAAGCAACTGCAATTCCCGATCTGTATCTAACTTTTAAAAGCTTCTGTAGCATCTTGGGTTTAATGCAGTTAGGCAAGTACCAGGGCCCACAATTAGATCCGTGTCACTGTGATGCAGTGCAGTACAAGTTAAAAAACCAGCCTGAACCCAAGCTGCTCCTGGCTCCGTACTCATTTGTCTTTCTAGCAAGAGCTAACACTGCCTGAGCAAACACAGCCTCTTTATCAAGCACAAGTTAACCAAGTTCCCTCCGGTGTCAGCAGCGTGTTAAGTCCTCAACTGGAGACTGATGACAAACCAGAAACTCAGCACTGAAGCTGACCTGTTCTTCAGCACAGCCCTTCTGACTACTGTTCACTGCAGAGTGCCCGTAAAGCCCTCACACTGTTCATTAACTTACCTGCCCTATGAGGCCATGAGGACAAGCTGCTTTTCCTTATGTACAAAGTTGCTCTCTGCCGGCAGTCTGAGCAGCCATGTCTCTTGCTGCCTTGCAGTGCTCTTATTAGCAGCTACTAAAGACTACCCACTTCCAACACTACTCATGCCTTTGACATAACTATACGCATACCTTGCAGGGGTGGGCAGGAACTGGCACCATCAGTAAGCCCATCAGCACCCATTCAAGGCACTACATCTCAGCCCAGCCCTGCTGACCCTAGCCATGCAGCAGCCTGGTTCCTCCTGATCATCCTGTTTCATTACCTTTGTGATGCCTTTTTTCTTTAGGATAAACGATGTGGATATCATCCCCATCACTGACCATGTTTGGAGCTTGCCTGATTTCATCCTTGATGTGACACCAGCAAAATACCCAGCCCACATTTTTGTGGAAGTAACTGGGTCTGGACTTACCCTTGGCCAATTTTCTCAAATCGAGTGTATTTCTTCTTAGGATCTCCCACACTCACAATGCTCCCTGAAAGAAACAAAGATGCTCACTTAAAATGAAGACACCACTTCCAGCAGATCAGAACTGCAGCTCCACTCTCTGGGGTTGTGAACTCTTTGTAGTCAGTTGGGTAACACCACCACAGGCAGCTCCATGGCACAGATGGCCTCCACAAACACTGATTTTCTACAGTCCTTTGGAGAGTTAGTCCTTAGGAGACTAAGAACGTGGAGGAACATTCACAAGAGCACTGTCAGAAAAGAACAGGTACCAATGCAAGTGTTGGTTGACTATAAACATTAATGAGAGCTGGAACAACAAAGCTTTTATGGATAAATACCGTGTGTGATTCAAGAGAAGGTTTAATAGTTCAGAAGATTAAATGCACCTTGTGTTCTGGAATCAATTTTTATCATCAGGTGCCATTTTCAGAACAGGCAGAATACTGCAAAGTGTTTCCAGGAGGGGATCTTCTCAACCTCTCAGCACTTTGCCATAAGAATGCCTTTGTGTTTTCAAAGATTATGTTATAATGAGTAATTATGGGGCCTTAAGAACTATGACCCTCACCATTTCTTACCGGGTTCTGAGGAAGACCCTGTCCGTGCCATGTTAAGAACCACACTGCTTGTCTTCAACCTGACCCAGCTCACTAACTCACACCTGACTTGCACTCTCAGCAGCGCACACACGCGGATCTCCCCAAGCACACACAGCCGTGACGGGCACCAGGACTCCCGAGGCACCAGCGTTACCCACACACAGCTGCACGGAGGAGCTGCTGCAGTGCGAGGAGTGCAGGTGCCGGGGCTCAGGCAAAGCCAAGCCAGGCCAGCCCGGGTGCTGCCGCCTCCCGGCAGCTCTGCGCTGGAGCAGCGGGAAGGCAGAGCCAGCCTGCCCAGCACCAGGCGTGCAGCACTCCAGGTCCATCGGCCCCATGGAGCTCGTGTGCCCCTGAAAGCCGCAATTAAAGCACTCGCTGCTCTGTGTTTATCAAACGTGAGAGCCAAAACCTGATAAGCTCAAATCTGAGGGAATAAGCACAAAACCAATATTGTTTTTTCTGGTCTGGTGGTTTCCCAGATCAAGTACAAACGATGAAGCCTAAGGTGATGGCTCAATGAGAGTGACTTTTAAAGATTTAACTTGGAAGGTACATCACTGAAATACCTGAAGATTAATTAAGGAGGAAAGACTTCCAGTGTGTCACAGCATATTTTGTTTGACTGATCTGGCACTATTCCTGTATCACACACACTTATTTGTCCACTTGTGCATCCAAAACAAAACTAGGTGATGCACCATTTGCTGTAAGTAGTAACAAATACCTCTCTCCCCCCAGTCCAGGCCATTTCTTTGGAGCAGAGGGCTTTAGCATCCAAATGGGCATCTGACTGGATGCCTGGCCAGGAATACTGCCTGCCAGCACGGCACGAAGACAGGACATCAGCACCATCTGGTACACTCCCTGCTAAAAGAACATTGCCGGCCTTGGCAAGATCCCCAATGCGAGCTGTGGGAGAAGAGGCTTCCTTTGCCGCATGGCACTCACTCCTCTTCCCTGGCACTGCAGGAACATCAGGAGTGCTCACTGTGGCACAGCCCCAGGAGACTCTGCAGTACTGACACAAACACAGCCATAACCCTGCGCTGGGCTGGACAACAGGAAAACAACACTGTGCTGCCAGCCTCAGCCTAGGTGCTATTTTCAGCTAGTTAATGGAGTGGGTGTCTACCCGAACACACAGAGAAGTTCAAGGAAGTTTGTGTTAGTAAAGAATAAAGAGCAAGACTGCAGAATAAGCATTTTGAAATCAATTTTTCCAAATTTGCCACCGATTTTGCAGGTCAGAATTCTGGAGTTTTTCTTCAAGGCTGGAGTAGTTGCTTCATGAGTTAGTTGTTTGTAGCTGGTTTCCTGTGCTTAAGCCAATGCACATTCTAATACGACAGCACTAAAATCAACAAAGTGACTGGTACGTGGCTGCAGTTCAGAGCAGCACTCCCTGCTCTGGACAAAAGATACACGTTATCAGCTATTTTGATGTCTTTAAGCGCTTTCCTTTATCGAGTCCTAAATTAAGTGGATAAGAAGCAGAATTGGGCCACTTGTGTTTTATAATTACAGTGGGACATATTCGTGATTTCATTACAGGCAGAATTCTGTTTGATCTTATCTCAGTATTACAGGCTTTGCTCCCCAGTAAAACTTGCAATGAAAGTGGTTCTAAAAAAACCAGGGTTATTTCCAGCAGAACAGAATTATGAAAGCAACTGAAGATAAAAGAGGGCAGAGGACATCTTCCTGAAGTATAAAAATCAATTGTGGGGGAAGCAGGCAGGTGGAGAAGTCATAAGAGTTAAACCAAAACAGAGAAAACCCCAACCACCACACAGGCTAATCAGCCCAGGACCGTAACAAAAAAGCATCACCCCTGTTTCCAGATAGCTTCATGAAAGCACAAAAAGATTTTCATTGTCCACATCACAGTTTGCCCAAGGCAGAGCTTCAGACCTTGTTCACTTGGTATCAAATTCATAACAAAGAAAAAGCATGAAAGCATGTAACATTCCAAATACATAACCCACAATAACTCCAGGGCTCAGTCCTAATCTGGCTGACACAGACGCTTGAGCAATGACAGGCACACTTGGGTTCATGTGCGCAGGCTACCTGCAGATCTCATGGTGGAAGCCTGCCTCAAACATTTATCCTTGGCTGCAGAAGCTGTAATTCCTCCCTTTATAAGCTGACATACCTGCAGGTAACTTATCTGCTCTGGAATTTACTTCATTGTGCCCTCAAATAAAGCTACTGAACTTACCCCTTGGATACTCTCTAAGAGCAGAGAGATTCAGTTCTTTATAGTCCTGTCAACCTGCTAAGGGTGCAAAAAACTCTACCCAAGCAGCTGAAATCTCACAGCTAAGGAGGGCTTCAGCCTTTGCAGCCAGAGCAGCCGTCAGTGGCAGGGGCAGGTATAACAAAACAGTTCACGTAGCGCAAGAACAAGCATTGACAGCCACTAAGAAGTCGCAGCCAGACTGCACCCCTTTACAAACAGCTGCCCCCATTAAAGACAGACCATTACTGGCTTTGAGATCAAACACAAGGAGGCATGGATCAATCCACTTCTTGTCCTAACAGTTAATGGCAGACACAGAGTAAACTGGGCTACGTTATGAACCCAACAATTTATCATCTGGGAGCGTAGTACTGGCAGCTATTATGTGCAAGCAGCAGAGTAAATTGGTTGTACTGCAGAATCACAAAGGGCTTGATTCCTAGTGTTTTCCTAGAGCATGATCTGCACAGGGCTTTGGGGCCAACGGTTAGGATTCTAACAGTATTAACTGGCTGGGAATTAGCTATGACACAGTGCCATGTATGTGAGGAATATACACAGTGGATGCGCTGGAGACTGGCTCCTGAGAAATGCCTGCAGTGCAGTTTCACCCGATCACACCACACAAATGTATCTCTGATACATCTTTATAAGCACATAGCTAAGAAATGAAATAAGGATTGTTATCAAAGTTGTTTTTCTTTTGAGTACATTAAGAACACCTCTTCCTCTCTATCCGTGGTATCAGCTTCAAAAGAGTTCTGACAGAAACACAGGATTCTTATGACTCTGATATACTAGTAAAAGTAGGAAAAACAATCATAGAAATGACACCAATAGAATATCTGGGGCATGAGAGCTCCTTGAGGCTAAAGAATCAGCTGAGTGTTCTGGCTGTCTACTGGTACAAGAAACCCCCCAACAGAAACAAATAAACCCAACAGATTTCTGCAAAGCATTCCGGCTCCAAGAAAATTCTCTTTACACTTCAGGAGTCTAAAGAGAACTTAGGCACCCAAATTTCCTGTTCCATTTGGCCATTAGCACACAGGAGTTCACTAGGTCACAGCCCTCTGCTCAACCAGAAACAATCTCTGCTTTTGCCTTTAGCACAGTAGGAAGCTCAGGCAAATCCAACCCACTGTTAGCTGCCCTCAGAGGCAGAAGGAACATCCAAAGTGCTCTCTTACTCCCTCTGAATTTGCATAGGGCACCATAAGTAACTCTGTGACACTGAACCGAGGATGAACATTTGGTGCATGCAATCCTGAGACACGCATACAGCACACTGCTTTATCAGGCAAGAAATCCAGGACACATACTCAGTTTCTCCAGGATCTCCTCATCGGTCATCTTGGATTTTTTTCGCTGCCGGTCTGTGTTTCTGTACAAAGTGCTTGTGTTTGAGTTTTCAGGCTGGGGAGTGGTGGCTTCTTTAGCTGGTGCTGGTGCAGCGGCAGGTTCGATTACAGAGCGCGTGTAGATCTGTGACAAGAAAGTATTCTGTGTCAGAAAGGTGCTTGCAGAGATGCCCCTGAGATCACATTTCAAATGCAAACCCTTAGGAAGATGCCCTCGGCCACATCCAAGGCTCTCAAAATGCTCGGGTTTGCTGTCCACTGCTCAAACTGAACAGAAAGAAGCAAAAGGCCAGTTTAACACAAGTTCAGAGCCAGTTTCATTTACAATTTTCACTGTTTTTTCTGAAAGATAACTGAAACAATGAACTTACTGCGTTGGAAGGATATAAAAATAGATGTGTCCAGGGCCCCACAGCCTTTTTTGTGATGCTCATGTGTTCTGATGAGTAACAATATGACTCTTTAGTTGGTACGTGCCTGAAGAGAAGCAGGGAGCATTTCCCTTTTCTGATGATAACTGCAGAACTGACTTCTCATCAGTACTGCAAGCTTTAGGGAGTGGCCATTAGGACTTGCAATCAGAGACCTACCTTCTCTTTACAAAGCACAGCTGTGTAGGATTCTTCTCATCAACCTTCAGTCTTGTAAAAGTGAAGGTGTAGCCTGAGCAGTTCATTTAACTACTTACATAACTTGTGGGGAGGAACAGGTACCTCCAGGCAACAGTTTCTGCCATGGAGCCTGAAAAGCTGTGAACTGCATCTGATGACCACTCTCTCCACTGATGACAAGACAGCCTACACAGATACTTTGGACAAAGCTGCTCACTTCTACACCGGTAGCATTAAAAGAGACAATGCTACCTCTGATCTGATACTAAGATGAATTCACAGTCCCTATCACAGGGAACTCATTACTCCATGTGAAGGTTCAAACCTCCTAGTGTCAGCAGCTTGGGTGAAGCACTAGGTTGTGGTAGGACTCCAGCCCTCAATCTTCACTCACGAATGGCAAGTGCTGTCTGATCAGAAACACAGAGCTCTGAATTACAGCAAACACACTGCTGACCAAAGCTGGACTTACTGATTTTGTATGTTCAGGCCGTGGTGCGATAACCGGTGGAGGTTCATTGTCATCTTCCTCTTCATCATCATCTTCATCCTCTTCTTCAGAAACAGAGGGAGCTAGTGGGGGTTCTGATGCTGTTTTAGTGCTCTGTGGACAGAAAGCAGCACAAGTGACAGTCACCATTCTGCACCTGGGAGGTTTGTTAAAGCACACAACTTTAGTCTGCTTAGACACCAGAAACCAGCCTAGACACATGCCTAGACACAGTCCTTTGGGCCGCAGTTCCAAGTTACACACAGCACAATACAACTTAAACACAACTTAAACATTACTGTGCTGTTGTCTTTTATTCGTCTTGGTGGTTTTCACGTTTTGCTAAGAACAACTAAATCCTTCCCCTGCTCAGAGTCTGATTTCGCAGAACGTAACACTTGAATCTATCATGAGAAATCCCATGCAGTTACTGGCTAATTGCTTTGGCATTGTGTCTGCACAAATGGTAACAGGTCATTAAGCTAACAGGTGTCTACTGGCTGGTTAATTAACACACTTCAAAGTGCAAAGCCTCCTTCAGCATCTTGCTGGGAATTTGGGTTTGGAGAGAAAGAGAGCAAGGCTGTTTGCTTCTTTACTACTTTACCCGTGGGTATTGCCTGTTTCTAAAGGACTCAAATTCACTGTTTCGAAGCTCCTTCAGCCCCATCCTCCTCTTAACCTAGTGCTAAGTTAACACATTGATCTTTCCACTGTTTTCCTGTTTCTGACCACAGCAGTAACCCAGGGTGAATGCAGCCCTCTCAGAGCAAGGCGCATCTCCCCCCACCAGCTACTCAGAGCAGGGGGTCCTATCACATTGTCACAATGGGCTGGTGAAACAAAGACTGAAAAAGCGCCTTGTTCAGTGTTTATCAAGTGCTTTAAAGCTGGCTACAAGAAGCCACTTGGGGAGCTGAAGCAAATCAAAGGCACTCTTCTGTATGTGCACATCTCATTTGTGTTCTCCTTAAAATGGCATCAATTTAGTCCAGTACAAATACCAGTAAGGGACGTCCTGCAGGAGAGACCTGAGCTGGTAACGTCTGAAAGCTGACATCCTGTCTCACTCTCGGTATCTGCTAGAACAAAATACCACAGCATTTACCATGGGTCCATACCCACTGGAAAAGCTATTGGGAATGCTTACTAAAGTTTTATTAAAGATAATGAAAGTGGCATCAATTGAATAGCTGAAGCGTGCGAATATACAAAGATGATCTTCTTTTCATTATACATACTCTCTGTTGTGCAATCACAGACCTACAATTAAGTTGCTTCATACCTGAAAATAAAGGCTCAATCCCCATTCAGTCATTTGCTATTTAATGCACTAACATTAACATTAATAAATCTGGTCAATATTAATGTGGACGTCATGGCTACGTCTCTGGGATTGCCATGGTAAGGCAGAGTTAATTAGAGTGGGGGAGTAGTTAAAACTTCCTTTCACTGGTTCCATATCAATTACAACCTTATACATATTCAGCCACACACTCAGCTGTACTAAGGCTAAATCATAAAACTTAACAGAAATGGATTCTAAGTTGTTAAAACTAAATTAAAAAGGGCTAATTAGACAGTTGTGTGTATTGTTGTGAATTACATATCCCAGCATGGCTAAGAACAACAAGCAATCTTCTGTCTGCAAAACCAGACTTGCATCTGTTTAAGGGATGTTAAAGAGAAAGTTAGGGAACAGCCAGTGATTCCTCCTCTGCTGCTGCAGAGCACTACAATGCACTGTCTGTCATTCAGCCGGCAAGGCTGGCACTCCATCACAAAAGCAAAGCTCACAGCTTGTTCCACAGTTCTTAAACGCTATGATAGTAAGAGGTTCCTTCCACACTCACCGAAGGATGGGCTTCTATGTATCCATGGGCGCTTTTATCTGCAGTGTGCAAGGGAAAATTAACCAGATGCTGTTAGAAAACTGCCTGTTGTGGGGAGTCCCACAGAACAAGTACATTCAAACAGACGGCATTTTTTTGGACAACATCCTTCCACTAGCAGCAGTTATTTCAAGTAGCAAGCAAGATAACAGGACAAGATACTAGGCTATTATTTTTCTGCAGTTTCTGTGTCTGTTTTTTTGCCAGTGAATAAAACAAATAGAAACTTGGTCAAGAAAGTTCAAATTGTTCTTTAATAGCCAATGCTTCTGTTCCAGCCAAGAGCTAAAGCAGCTTCTTTCCTTTTTCAGTTAACCCATTGCATGCATTGATTCTCTTTAACTTGCTGAAAATGTTTTGCCATAAAAGCCTCCCCAAAATCACCCTTAGCAGTGGCAGTTCTGTCCTGGCACAGTGCAGCAGCAGCTCCTGCGCTCAGGAGCATACACTGCTTAAAACATTTCATCACGAAAGTAATTGCTGTTTCAGCAAACACAAGCATCAAGTTTGAGAGTCAAATCTTCTAATTATGGCGTTTCTAAGAAAAAGATGCTTTCCCTCAATGTGAGAGAAATGCTGGTAAAGTTGGAGCTCTCCCCGTCTGCATTTTAGAAGTTGTGCTGGTTGAACCAGCAAACTGAGGGAATCACAGACTCTGCTGCCACAGGCTGTCATGGGTATGGAACTGACCCACAGCAGGCTGAATTACAAATGCTGTCCACATGCCCTTGGACAGAGACACCCCTTTATTGCCTGGAGCTGTTGACACCAGCTTCACCAAACTAATGGTATCTTAATGGCACTTTTGTTTAAAACTCAACTCCGTCATTAAGGAATAGCAAAAGAACATGTTGACACAAAAGCCAGATAAGCTGTACCTAGTTAAACCCTCTGCTTACTTGCTTGGCATGTCAGCTGCAGGAGTGAGTCTAGTAAATAAAAGAGTGAGCCAAATAAAGAAAACCACACACTGCAGCACAGTCTTGCTCCTTCATTTTCACAGTGCCATGCTGCAGTTTTGCAGACTCTACACAAGGGAAGGAAAGACACCCCCATCGTGTCTGCTGGCTCCTTTTGGATGGCAATGCCTAAGTCATGATGATTCTGCTATGGAAACTGCTCTGGACACTGACTCTTCCTTGCACATCCTCTGTGGCAACATTCCTTTTACATCACAATAGCAGCCTTTATAGGTTAGTTTGTGTATTATGCATAGAAACTCCTCTACAGCTATTGCACACAAACCCTTGAAAATTCTCCTCCATGACAAAGTATCACCAAAAATCCTCATCGTTCATAACCTGTCTCTCAAAGGATGCATAACTCCTGAGATGCACAGAACGAGTTTACCCTGTACCCCAGGGTGAACACTGTGAAAGAACAAGGATGTGAGGGAACAGAAGTAAACACAGCCTTTGGCCACCAATGCTTCTGACTAAAAATGCTAATGCTTGTTCCATCTAGTACCTTATTGAGTTTTAAAAGCAAGCAACAAAGAAAACTCAGTTTCAGGGACATTTAGGGGACACAAGGAGAAATATAATTGATTACAGGAGTATTTCTAAGGCTACTTCTTGACCACTTGAATGTGGAACTTTGGTCTGACTCATTCTGGGGCCTGACACTCCCTTCTTCGCAGCGAGATGTCGACTTACCTCCTGACGTAAAGCTCATGTATTTCTGGTTGTTAACTGTTTCTTTGGAATCGTAGAACTTGAGAACATCTAGAACAGCTTGTGGGTTCTTCTTCTGCTCCAGTTTGGTTATGTTGGAGGTCTGTAGTAGCCTGGCCCACTGCTCTGGAATGCCCTGCAGGTGTCAAGTGGAAAGAATGTGTGTTTATAGAGTATTTAACAGCCACAGCCTCACAGATCTTTACCAAGATCCCATGCTACCTGTAAGATTACTTTGAGAAATATTGATTGACACCCTACAATTAAAATTAGGAGCCTACACATCAGATGCAATCATTCTGTTCTCTATCAAAATACAGAGCTACAACCGGGATCCAACTTTAAAAAGAAAAGAAAGTTATGACTGTGATAGGAAAAAAAGTGCATGAAGCTCATCTTTAAATCAACCCTGCTCTTCCATGGAATAATGAGTTAAGGCTTAGCTTGCTTTCCTGGTGATTCAGTGCAGACATAACAAGGCTATTCTATGTTTGTGGACAACACAGTGTATTTTAGGAGCTTTACACTGGATTTTTAATGCTTAATAACACAAACACATTTTGCTGTGACGTTCACTGCTGTCGGATTAAAAGGATAACCCCATCCTTATCCAATTAATTTTCAGCATACCAGGGAACACTGTGGGGTTAAGAATCTGCATTTAAATCCTCAAAATCGTGACCCTGAGTTGTACCACTGCTGCTGAGGGTGTCTCTTTATCGAGCTCCTGTAGCTCAGTCGGTTCTTTAATGTAAATATACAGAAACCAGGGACTCGGAGAACAGGCTGAGAGTGCCAAAGCCTTGGAGGAGCTCTCAGACATCTGATGAGTGAGGGTGGCATTTGAAAATTCATCCAATCAGTGAAAGCTGCAGCTCTGCATTGGAAACGTATTGATGGAAAATTGCTTTAAATATCCAGTATAATTTCCTAAATTTGAAAGCCTGTAATATTGCCCCATTACTGCACAGCCAACATCTACCAGCAAACTGTAGGACTTACTGAATGAGAAACCACACCTGAAGCATCATTTACATTTAGCCTTAGTGCCACCCCAATCTGGGAAACGCTTTCTTCCTAAGAAGTTCTCCACAAAACAATGTGTGACATGGGCCTCCAAAGTTTAGGATTAATGACAAGAAGAGTGGGATAAGCCAAGCAACAAATCTACTGCACACACATCAACCTGCTGCTGCAGTGCTATGACATCTCAAAGAAGCATTTGGATGCAAGATTCTTTTGGGCCTGTGACGCACCTCTGGGAGCTTCCCTGTGCACATCTGTGAGCCATAGAGATCTGGCTGTAATGGACGTAAATAAAGAAAGAAAAGAAAGTTAAAACAGAATGTGGGACAACTTAGAAGGTGGTAGGAGGAAACCAATGGGCCAAAATGGGGAAGTCCCATCTAAAATGGGAGTTACGAGGTGGGTAACAAATGGATTAGGTGGTGGACAGGCTACAGGAAGGCAGGCTTAGGGAAACAGAAAAATCACAACTGTTCCAAAGTTTGGAAGCATCTTTCCCCCTCCTCTTTTTTTAAACCAGTTTTTCTCTCCCTCATAAAAATACATTACTGGGGATTAAAGCAAGTGACTGGAAAAATCACCGGTGATCTCTTTAGTAAAAAATAAAAATAATAGAGAAAGATCTGGGCTTTTGCTGTTTGCCTCGTTTGAAAGCCAGGTCAGCATTTTTTAATGGCTCTACATTGTGTTTTCCAGTGGTTCTCCAGCCCCAGGATCACAACTGGCCAGCGTAAGAGCCAACAAAGAGCAGAGGAAAAAGCAGCTGATCAGACTCAGACTTCACACTGGGAGACTGGGTACGGTCATAACACAACCTGTGTGTCAGACTAACAATCAGGACAACTCTAAAGGAATGACCGGTCAGGTTGATAACCTGTAACCTCCTTAGATCTACAGCCACAACCTTTTCCCCCACTTGCTAATGTCATAATCTTGACACCTGAGAAGCTTGGTGGGTGACCACGTTTTGTTCTAGACTGGGGATCAGGAAACTGTTTCAGAAACGCATGCCTTACAAAATGCGCTCCCCAATACACTCCTTCCTCCAGGCAGAAAATGCAACTGCTCCTTCAAAATAAACCAACATAAAGCCCTAGCAGCATGCTCCCACCCAACAGTTTCCAACCAACTCCATTTTGAGCTTTAAAAGCTCTCCTTCTAAGCAAATGTGGTTGCCCCAAGCACAGTGAAATGTAGATACAACACGCATTCATGAGCAACAACACAGCTTGGTGCTCAAGCCTGAAAGCTGAAACTCAGGAGTCCATGCAACTTTGACTTGGGATGCAACTAAGAGCAGTCAGATAATGCAGCTGGGGTGTGTGACTGTGAGGTGTCAGAAATGGCCCAATGCATTGCACATAGCCAGTGGAGCAGACACTACTGGCATGACAACTGTAACAATTCAAACCAAACCCCCCAGGTATTTGCACATTTACTGGACATTCCCATGTCACTTCCAAACTTTTGAAGGAGACAGGCAGTGTGATCGCTAGACAGTGGGAATATCTGTACATGATATGGCTAGTGGCAGTCCCTTGAGCAGGACGTACTTACACGTAACTACCCAGCTGATACACGGGTTGTATCCAGGTTGGGACAAATCAAACATGCCTAGTGTGATGTGCAACCCAACACCTGCATCTGGGATTACTTGGGAGCTGATAGGAACTGTAGGAACAAGTATTGCTGCAGAAGTATTGTGTCATTGTAAAACGGCAGCCACCTAATGCCTGCTGTTTTGAAAGGGAAAAAGATTTTAAAATGAAGCGGTGCTACAGCAGTAAAGCTGGACATGTTTAGCCTTGTACAATCCCTCTGTTCTACAAAAGGCCAGGACCTGTGCTGGGGGCATCTGACACCAAAAAACAAATTAAAAACAATAATCAAAAATCCCTGATGCTCCTGTTTTGACACACTGGATGACAATCAAAACATTCAAACTGATGTCTGAAGTACTGATAGAGAGTGCTTGTGCTGAGGACTCAAACGTATTCACCTCAACATCCCTCCTTTTTGATGCAGCTGGCAGGGACCTGAGACTAACTGGGATCCTCACCACCAGTCAGCCTACAAGAGAACATGTTTGTGACCCATCACATTTTCACAGAGCCACAAGGAAAAAGTCTGAAGCACAGGGTAGAAATAAAGGCAGAAGGCTGAAAGAAGAATAAATATAGAATAAGAACAGCTGAACATTAGTGGGGAGAGCAGTGAAATGGGAAAGAAAGGAAAGAAAGAAAATAGAAGATAAATAGGAACGTGGGATGCAAATACAAGAGGGAGAAAACAAAAGCAGAAAGTAACACAATTCCAAGATAGAGAATGGCATTGAAGATTAACCTGAACAAAGTGCCCACATGGGAGAGACCGAGAGAAAAAATAAGAGGAAAACCAGGACAGACAGCAGGGAAAACACAGTTTTAAAAGCTTTACGCGAAGATTCTGATCAAAAATGACCACATCTGGGTTTTTTAAATAAGCATTTACTCAAGCCCTAGGGTTTGGCACAGAACAAATTCTGAAGTAAGATTTTTTAAGTGACATCTATTTTATAAAGGCTAATGAACTAGTCTGCATACTTTAAACGTAGCTGTACCTCCTCATTACTAAGGATAATTCAATTTCACTCCTCCTTTGAAGACACGCTGTCATTAGATGTGTCTTTTCTTCTACTGTTACTGTTATTATTACTATTGCTGCTGTAGCACACACAGTTTCTGAACTGCCTGTGAGACCCAAAAGTAGCAATCAAAGTAAAAACTGATGAAGTCACGTTAGGACTCACATTCTGAAAGCGAGCCACCTTTTTTCCAGGCAAATGATTTGTCCCATCCTGTCTGGTGTATGCAGCCTGTCAGCACTAGCACGCTGCACAATTCGACGCATGGTGCTAACACAGTCTGACCACTTAGCTCACAGGGTACGGCTGATGGTACGAAGAGTTGCTTGCTAATGCTTCCTCTCCCCTCCACAGCTCAACCAAGTGTAGGCTTTCTGCCACCTTAGCTTTAAGGATTAATGGCTTCAGCACTTAACTAGCAGTCTGAAAGATAACGCTTTCAGCCCCCTGCACACCTCAAGGAGCTCCTATCAGACTCATTTTTCCCAACACTTCATTGTGATACAGGCAGAAAAAGCTGACTGCTGTTTTATTAATACATAAAGGCTAGAAACGTGTCTGACCACCTAGCCTATGGACATACTTTGAAAGATATGGAATTAAAATGAATGGACATCCACAATGCTGCTGCTGCCTGGTGTCTCCAAGGGCTGTCTGCAGAGCAGCTGGACTTTGCACTTTGGGACTGATTTGTCTACAGCCAGACTATGCACATGTGCGTGGGTTTCTTTATGCTTTCCCAAAGACGCTGAGTAACCAACCCCTGTAGCAGCTTGTGGGACTGATAAAAGCACACACCTACGTTCTTCCTAGTTTTCATTTGCCACAGACACTCTGCTGACAATCCTTGGAGAAAAAGAAACCATAAAGCAGCCTGAATCAGAAGTAACCCACTCCAAATCTTAAACCCAACAAATGAAAGTCTCTTTCTTCACAGCCTGGCTGCTGTCATCTGATGTTTCTGGCAATAGGAGGTTATTTTACCAAGAAACTAGAAGCTCTGGTAAGCAGGCAAGGCAGTGTGGTTACTTACTGTGAATTCTCCAGTGACGGCATCAAATCCCACATGAATGGTATGTTCAAAGTCTGAAGGAAGAGAGATCTCAGGACGTTCTTTCTCTTTCTTCTTGTTGGCTAGAGGCAAAACGTTAACACGCACTTATTTTCTGGGCAGCTTTGCAGTCAAACATTTTCCCTAGCAGGTGCGCTCAGAACAGTACTTCACACGTGGAAACCAGATCAATTAACATCCATCTCACTTGACAAATAGACCCAAGCTAATATACACCAGCCTAGCTGTCAACCCCTGCCTGGGAAGGTCTACGTGGTGTAACTTCATTCTGATTTTCTTCCAAGCAGTATCACTGCTGCCAAAGCAAGCTGTTCTTGAAGTAGTCATCTTAGGCTATTTCTAACCAGTATGATTTCTGTTATCAGTTCTGCTCTTCGTCAAGCTTTTATATCTAGCAACCAAGTCCTGTTTTGACTTTGCTCTGTGGGTTCCTGCAGAAGCAAAGCACCCAGCACACACATGTGCATGCCTGTTTGCATGTGTGTCTCTTCTCCAGCGTACTTTGAGCCTGTTTTCAAGCTCAGCCAAGTCAGAGAGGAGCAGTTTTGTAAGGTAACGAGGTTCCTACAAGCCCTGTGAAAACAGGCAACTGAGGAGAAGGCTCCTCTCAGATTAAAAGGCTCAAGCAGCAGCTCTGTATTAGAAACCACAGAATCTGCACAGCAACAAGATCCCATAAATGCCATTGGAAAAGCTTCATTTGAGCTGTTCATTAGCTAAGACATATAGCCATAAAAGCCAGGCTTTATTAGTCTCCAGGAATTCCTTGTTTTATATCACTCTACCAGTATTCAAGGAGTGTGAAGTATCTTACTGAAGGAGACAGACCTGAAAGTCACTCAGCTGCATATATTTCTCATCTCCCTTCTATTTTAACATCTTTTGAAGGTAACATCCCTGGTGGTCGGCCATCTCCTGTGCTTTAATACTATTGACAAATTTCACTTCAGCCCAGTTTTATTGATTCTGATAACAAACAAGTGAATAAAGGCTGAGAGAAGCTGCCTTCACTCTGAAGCATCAAGAATCCATGTTCAATAGAGATTTCTCTGAAAAATAGTGACAACAATGGCAATTCTGGACCACTCCCAGACATCCAGATAAACACAGAGTACATCCATCTTCAACCATCTATCCTGCTGGCAGGTACCTGAAACATTTGGCTTCCCTGGAAAACCAGTGTGCTCCAAGACTAACTATTACATGGTTGAACAATACAGTACAGAACTACCTGCAGGATCCTCTCTGGTGGCAGCAGTGTATCTGTAATAGCCAAGAAGGGAACTGCCTTCCTATCAAATACATCTGTCACTGAAACTGGGGGAAAATCACATGCTAATGATTGGAACAGGGCAAATATCACAGTGCCCACAGGTACACGAGAGAGGTTTATACTGTGCCTATCACAAAGGGACTCTATATCAGGATCTCTATAGGCCAGTGTATCACCATCTATTAATGATAATATGAAAAGTGAATACCCATGCCATAGCTACACATCAGCAGGAGAGAAGGGAACAGTTGTTCAGGTCCTGCCTTTGCTTTACATATTCCCTTAACACAGGGCCAGTCTTGATGCGCACGTTATGCACATCAAAACCAGCTGGACGAAGACAATTTTGTTTGTTTTACTCTACCTTATAGCTTCCTTCAGTTGGAAGATGCTCTGCTCTTCATAATTACAGTCCAGAGTAGTTTGGATGTTTCTAATGCTTTCTCTGCACTGTTCCATTTATCCTCATTAAAAAATTAACTGTCACCCCTTGTCTGCACTGCACACCCCTACACAATGTTCACTGATGAATTATTTTCATTTAGCATTTAGTAAATACTGCAGCAATATATCAAATACAAATGCAAAGGCTTTTCCCCTTCTTTTATCTCTTAAGATGATGTTGTGTAATTTTCAGGATAGATGTTGCCAGTTACAAGTCGTCATCTCCGTTCAGCATATGTAACTTTCTATTGCAGATAACAGAACTGGCTTCTCCTACCTCATCATTTACAAGCAAATGCAGTGAAAATTAGATTTAAAGGATCATCAAATTCAGTTCAAAACAAAAGTCAAATCCAGAAGCAAAATAAGGCATTCCACCAAATGCAGCACCTGCCCATTCCAGGCCTCTCCTGCCGGGGACAAGCGTTCCAGCTCATTCCCCAAAATCTGGCTCGTCTGCTTCATGAACCTTTGCCTACCAGACTGTGGATGTAACACCTATAGTCCAAATGCTGAAAAGCTGTAAATTAAATATACAATTAAACATCTTGAAACACCCTCCTCCCTCCCCAGCCTAAAACCCCTGACACTTCTGTCTGTGCCCTGCAACTCAAGTTGCTTCTGTTTTACATAAGCTGGCAAAACCATACGAGAAGGCATGACTTCCTTGTAGCCATGACTGAGTGCATTCAGGGGTATTTAATTTTCTTATACATGCCCCTCACAATACACCCCTCCTGCCACAGTGGTTTCTTCACGTTCTGTTTACTGGTGGTGCACTGTTACCGTAATGCTGTTACTGTGATGCTGCAAAGCACTGCACTAGAGAGCAGCTGTATCAATCCCCTTCTGTTTTATAAGCAGTCACTGAGCTTGTGAAGCACACACAGCCCAGGTTGGTTTGACCCACAAACCAACCCCAACATGAAACCACCTCAAGCAGCTTGGCCAGCCAAGCTACACGTTCTCTATTATTTCAGCAACAAAATTAAGCTATAAATCTTAGCTTACTTTTCTTCACATCACGTTTTAACTCATGGTATGTATGTTTTCGATGACTGCTCTGTCTGGTAGTTCAAGACATTTTTAATGTCACTGATCATTTCCAGGAGGGATTGCTTCTGGAGCGGCCCATTTCTGCATGTGTTTCACACAGCACCTCCTCCTTAAGAAATGTTTCCTCGGAGAGGGATAATACCATTCTGCTGGCAGTAAGGGCAAGAAGCGACCCAAGGCCTTGCAGGAATTAAGCCGGGAGGGATTTTCATTTTGGCCTTTTTTTGTTTGCAAAAGGGGACATTTTGGAAGCACTCTGCAGAGTGAACCGGCCAGCTCTGCCTGAGGAACGGGCCCATGCAGGCACAGCCTTCACATGACAGGCTCACGTGGAGGCTCATGAATCCTTGTTGACTCTTCCTGACCACATTCTTGTCCTTCATTTGTGTTGAAATGATTTCCAGGAGGGTTTGCTCAGCTAGCTTCCCAAGGACAAGGCGAGGCTGACTGACCCATAGTTCCCCAGATCCTCCTGCTTAAAGGCAGGAGTGACATTTGCTTTTTTAGAGTCACCATAACCTTTCAAAGGTAATCAGAAGTGGCCTTGCCCTGACATCAGCCAGCTCCTCAGCACTTGTGGGTACAGCCCACCAGGTCCCATGGCATTACAAAGATCCCTTCCCCTAATTCTGTAAACACACTAACTCAAACCACACTCCTTTCTGCAAATGCATGTTACAGAATGCAAGTGAAATACTGCTTCCTGCATGTTCAAGAAACTTTTTTTGCTGTAACCACACCAAGCAGGTTTTAAACCAAGCCATTCTGCGCGTACTCTCACTGCGAAAGCAACAAGAGGCATGCTCTTGCTCCTGGAATGGAAGTAATTCTAGGATTGCATTAAAAACCAAACCCAAACCATCAGGCGTATTGCCTCTCACTTTTGCAAATCTATTTTCAGAAGTCCATAACTTTACCTCTGCTTTTACTGCAAATGCAAAGCCAATGGAAAGGGTTCCCCAGCTTCACTATGAAGTTGCTTTTAAAAGGCAAACTGCACAACATGTGCAGGTTTTATTGGATTTCAAAGACAAGAAAGTAACTGACCAAACACGTCCTCCTCTTTAGAAACATGTTACCAGAGTAATGGCAACAGAAAGGTTTGGAAGGACTTCACCATGCGCTGCAACTCAAACCAAAAAGAAAACAGTGGCAGAAATAAAACACAGCAACCAAGAACCAACAGAGGCAAAGAGGGACGGAGCCAGCCATTGGCACTGCTGATACTTTACTTTTATCCCCTCCTCCTGGGAAGATGGAGCGAAGCCTGGCTTTCTTGTTCTTCTCCTCAGGGGCCATGGGGAGCGGTTTTGAGCTGTGGTTTAGTGCTGAAGAATCGCGGTTGTTGCTGTTCATCCTCAACGGTGGGGCTGGAGGTTTCTCTTCAATATCCAGACTATCGGACATCTTCAGCAGCCCTCACAGCCTCCTGCAAAGGCAGAACAGAAAGCACGTCGGTCAAGTGAGGATGTCGAGGCTCATGTCCTGGGGAGGAAAGAGGGCAAGAAAAGCCTTCTGGTGGAATAAGGAAGTCTTTCTATGGAAGGTTTGCTCTGAATAAGGTTGCTATAAATAAATGCAGTGGCCAATTCCTACAAATCACGGTATTACCATTAAAATAAAGGGTTTTACAGCCCTGCTAAAGGCTTTTCAAGTTTTTGTTTACAACTTTTTTCCTGTAGTTGTTAACAATCCAAACTGTCCCCTGAAACCAGCAACATTTAAAGGATTTACTGAAACTACCTGTTATGGCAATGAACCATTTTTACAATGTAAGAAAGAAGGCACACACTGTGGGGGCTATGGATAGCAAGCGTTAAGGTCTCTATTCCCTCCCTGTGGTGTTTGGGGAGGCTTTAGTCCTAAGACTGTGGGGCTTCAAAAGGAATGATCTTCCCAAAGGAAATTCATTCAGAAGCACCGATTAAAAACTTTCTTGCGCATAAACATGAACAAAGAACAGGGGTACTGACTGAAGGAAAATAATACCCAGAAATCGTCACAAAGCTTCGGTAAGCTGGGAACACACAGGGCAGGTGAGACTTGCCCAATGTATCTTAAATCCTAAAATTCAAGTCTGGATTAAGCAGCTGGTTTAGCAAACAAGCAACGCCTGGTAAACCCAACTGATTTAAATCTGAAAATAGAGTGTGATTTCAGACAGATCAGATGTGATGTGGGCTACACTGCGCGTTTTTAAAGGTTACAATTCTACAGGCACCTTGCTTCCAACCCCCTAAAATCAATGCGGCTCCTGTTCTGGAAGGCACGTGCAGAGCACTGTGCATGTGTTATGGATCCCTCCCTGCGCTGATTCACAGTTAACACAAGTTATCACACTCATTGGCTACTCTCTTGTATTTAAAGTGAAGCAAACAATGTTTTTCAGCTGTGGAAGTCTCAGGTTTGTTTCAGAAGTATCAGCCAAACACAGCGACCGCCACTTGCACAGAGGTCCTGAAGCTCAAATGGAGCAGCAGCGCTGCTCTCCCTTTGGTCAGGTAAAGCTGGTGTGGCTGAGGGGTTTCAGGGTTCTTTGATTGCTTTTCATACCCCAAAACCTGAGCTAACACTTTCAACAAGTGCATTTACTTTGATATAGCTGGAATTTTACTGGCACTGACATATTAGTAGTGGATAATCAAGTCCACACTGCCTTAACTGACAGTACCTTCCATACAAAAACCGACTGACCAACTGAAACACACAGAGATGTCAACTCTAGACTGGTTTTCACGACATGGGCATTTTGGCATTTGTTTCCATTGTCAAATTACCACATATAAAACAATCACTTTTTTAGTACTTGATCTACATTTTTAATTTCACCTGTACGAGATCCCAGAATGCCAGATCTGAAATTCAAAGCATCTGCCTAGTGACAAGAATAATAAATGAAATACACCATTACATCTCTGTTTTGCTCCAGTCCCTGGCTCCACTAGGCAGTGTTCCTGAACATCTGGATCCCCAAGGGATCCCAGAGACCTGTCCTAGAGTCACACAGTTGAAAACTCTAGCAACTGCTGGTCCCAGCCCTCTCCCAAGTACCTACAGCATGAAGCTGATGTCCTGGAGAACTTGATTCACAAACATATATCCAGTCCCTAGAAGAGGGTTCTGCAAACACATCTGCACTGTCCAGGTGGAGAGCTACCAGGAGACCTGCTTTGGTGATGGAGGAACACAGCCCACTGTCCTATGGAAGCACAGATGTAGGCAATGACCAAGGAAGAGCCCTGAGTACAACCTTCAAGCACAGAGTAACCTATTTACCTAGAGAACTCAGTGCTTTTGTGGGTTTAGTCAAGCAGTTAACACTAGGGATCTGTGGGATTTCTATCCTGAAATGCAGATGGTTTTCCAGTAATGAGGAATATTAAAAAAAACAGAAGGAAAAAGAAGACCCAGTGATGAAAATGACTGTAAGGTAACAGGGAGAACTGCACGTGCTGCGTGTGTTACGCTGGTGAAGGGGAAGTACGCGATGCCCAGGTATTTCTGCACAGGGATGCATGAGGGAGCTCCCAGCTTATGAAGCCCAACAGAGACATCCGGACACAGCTCCTGGCACCTCCAGCAACTCTCACAGAGAGCACATGGCCACAGAGGCTTTTATCTGCTCTTTAACCCACCTACAACCACTTCTCCAGTGCCAAAGAGCCTTCAACCCCCGAGATCATCAGCATGAGCCTGACCACAGAAGCACCAGGGCACGCTCTCAGCTTGCTACAGAGCCAGACGGTCACTCTGTGAGTCCATTACAGGCACAGTTTCAGCTGTCCCTCAGAATGGGACAACTGTATCTGTCACTGCATCTATTTGTAAACAATGCCACTCTGCTGAAATAGGTCCTCCCATGGGATTTCATTCCACAAAGAATACTGTTAACGGTTTCTGGCCCAATTTGCCTATGATGTCATTATTCCCAAGATTTTGAAAGGAACACTGTATTCTGTTCAGAGCTGATTCAGGCTCAGTTTCAAGAACCATACAAAGCTCTTTTATTCACTTCTAAACCAGAGGAAAGGAAAAAAAAAGGGGGGGGGGGGGGGAGATAGTCTAAAAGGTTTAACGGTTGATATTAACTCTCTAAAGCTGGTCTGAATGAAAACTAGAGCAAACCACAAGGCAATACACACCAAGAGACTTACAATTTGGGGTTTTCCTAAGCAGAGCCCATCTGCTCTTCCATTCATTCTGATCTTGAGAACTGCCATGCACTGCAGCACAACAAAAGAACACTCACTATCCCATGAGACTTCAGATTTTAAGTGTTTTGCACCCATTTGCTCCAACCTCACCTTGGAGAAAACCTGACAGGTCAAGAAGAATCTGCTCAGAAGCTTGTCAGGTTTTCAGGTTTACACTGCAGAAGTGCCAACAGCATGACAGCCCAAGTTAAACTCTACCTTGGGACCAGGTTTTCCCACCATAGTAAGTCATTGGTTCTGCTACCCTCGTTCTGCATAGGATGACACCATCCAAAGCCACCTCCTGTCTATTGGAATGATTATGCCGTATCTGGACATCAGAAAGCACTTCTTTACTGAGAAGGAGGCTTCCTAGAGAGGTGGACGATGCCCCAAGCTTGTCACAGTTCAAGAGGCATTTAGACAATGCCCTTAATACCATGCTTTAACTTTTGGTCACACAGTTGGGACTGCATGACGGGTGTGGGTCCCTTCCAACTGAAGTATTCTATTCTAAAAGATAATTATTTTGATTTCTTACAAACGTGAGGTTCACTGAGAACTTCATTCTTTGGACATGACCCTTCCAAACCAAATGCTTTCACTGCTCTCACCAAACCAGCAAACATGCAACAAGCACTCCTAGGAAACTGTCTGCAAAGCAGCGCATTCAGCCTCCTAAGATGGGGTTTGTGCCCTTTTTTCCATGCCCAGAAACAGTAACTACTGCCTCATTAAGGATCCTTAAGCGTTGCAACAGCACCAATTCTTGCCTTCCAGAAATAATCTCTGCTGCCTCATCCCCTTCATACACTTCATGCTCATACAGACACAAGTCTCTCCACTCTAAACACACCCTGGTTTCATGAGTTTTGGCTGCACCTCCTGGCAGGTCCCTGTTACTCACTGTCTCAACTCAACATGCGAAGGTTGATGACTGCATTCTCCGAAGGGTCACAAAACACCCATTTCTTAGGGGCAAGATGAATTCCCAAGTCTCTCAACTTCATGCTGATTTTCTATGCAGTTCTTCAGGAAACACATAATCCACTCAAGACCTCTCGAAGAAGCTACTGAAAGCAAACCCCCAACAAGACAAAAAACCCTCCCTCCCAGTTCCCAAATTCTAGGAGAACAAGGCTGAAGTAGCACACAGCGATGGCCAAACATCACAAAACCCAGAGGACTGACAGAGGCACAGGGAGCAGTTCCAGGGCCTCTGAGCTAATATTCCACAGCCTTCACAAGCTTGGGGAGGCAGCATGGCACTGGTTCACTTTCCTGTCACATTTTCCAGGCTCTTCCTGCAGCTCTGTGCTCTAGGGAGTGAACTTCAAGCAAAGCAGAACTGAGACTGCAGAGTAATTCTGCAGCAGGGATGAGATCCTGGCAAACCCTGCACACTTTGGAACACTGTGCCCTGCTGCTAGTGCTGCTGCAGTACAGCTACCAGCGCAGCTCACCGCACCAGAGCCAAAGAGCTGCGCTGGAAGAGGCCTACCTGTGCTCACCAAAACCATGGAGGGCACAGCCCAGCGGGTTTTCTTCATCTCGGTCCTCACAGACCCCATCAGTACAACCAAGGCAGTGTGGGTAACCTTTGACAAGAAATTCATAGATCTGCATGTGTGCAAAGAGATACCCGATAACCACTTACTTCCAGAGAGAATTTCTCTCGGTGCCCACTGGCTTTACGGAAGAGCGAGCAGACTGTTGTACCCAAACACGAGCACATCTGAGTCTGTAAGCTAGGGCTTCACAGCCAGGTGGCAAAAGCTGAAATTAAATCCTCAAACAGGTCAGTTGTTTCTACACAGCTCTTACAGGGTTATAGAAGATGATCCAGTGTCACTTCCCCCCCACCTCCTCCAACCACCAGCTTTGTGAAGTGCAAAGACAAACACTGACTTTAAATATATGGCATTCAGCTTCTCCATGACTCAATTCCCCCTTTGCAAAAGCCTGCCTTACAATATTTTTGCATCTAGTTCTTGCCAAGCTGGGGAGAGGAGATGAAGGAAGATATCTGAAGCACCCAAATGTCTTCAAAAGAGCACACACACAAAATTCCTTCAGTTCAAGTTCAGAGCAGAATCTCATGCTGGGCCTTCATCCCAGTAAGCTCTTCACCCCTGTGTATCTGGGGAATACTGTTTGTAGATACGTTTTGAATGGCTTTCTTAGGTTACTCACGTTATTTCAAAGTCTGCAGCATTCAGACATGACTGGTTCCAAT